CGCCGGGCTCCCGCTGCCCGGGGGCCGCTTTGTCCCCGCTCCCCGGGGTGCCGGGGGAGCTGCGCAGGCCCTCCCTGCACGCTGCTGCGGGCTTTCCCGCCATTGGGCTGGAGGCATGCGGGTAACGCTTGTCCACAGGCGCCAGGCGCTTTGCCAGGCACTTTGGGGTTTTTGCTTTGTCTTGGGCTCTTTAGCCGTGGCCTTGGCGTGTAAAACTGCAGTGATGGTCTGGTATCCTTCCAGGCTGACACGTTGTGTAGGCCAGGGCTTTGGCGTAGTCTCGATGTACTTTAAACAACTTAAAGAATGCGCTTAATTTGGAATATTGGCCCAAGCCCACTTTAAAGTTAATATTTTGGTATTATTTTCACATATTAAGTAAACTTCTTGAAACATCTATGGCAGCGTTTAGAGGGATGGAGTGATAGGACTACCACCGAGGACAGAAAGACAGTAACCCCGAAAGATTTTTCACATTCAACAATACTGCTTGATCTTAAAAGCGTTCTCATCAGTGCTTTGTTTTACTTTTTAAAGTTAACTTAAACTACTTGAAATAGGCTATATACCGTGAAGAAGCAACTGAAGGCAGTACTACTTCTAGTTGCTTCAGCCTAAAAATTTTAGGGTTTTTATGGTTTTTATACCTCATATATCATCAACATTGACATCTTGCAGTCTGATGTTTTGTTAATAACAACCTTATGTTTTTAATAGGTCATTTGCAGAATCAAAATGGTTGAAGCAGATCGTCCTGGGAAACTGTTCATTGGGGGCCTGAACACAGAGACTAATGAAAAAGCCCTTGAGGCTGTATTCGGCAAATATGGACGCATTGTGGAAGGTAAAAAGAAAAACTTTTCAATTTTAAGATACTAAAAAATAAAAAGCAACAATATAGCTGTGATGACTTTTTTGGCATTGATCATCTGAAATGATGGTGCTTTCATGTCCTCTAAGAAGTTCTGAGCTTAGAAGGTTAGATAAAGGTTAAGTGTTCCTGCCTAATTACAGGAAGGGGTAACATGGCTTTGTTTCTGCAGTCCTTCTGATGAAAGATCGTGAAACCAACAAGTCCAGAGGATTTGCATTTGTCACATTTGAGAGTCCAGCAGATGCAAAAGATGCTGCCAGAGATATGAATGGAAAGGTAGGAATTAAGACAAATTACATGCTGCCATTACTACTGATTAGCAGTATTGATTTGGGGGGTAAATTAACTAGTAATAAAAGTTGGAAAGATAATGGGTTAGAAGATCCTGGAGACAAGTCATGAGTTTAAATTTGGCAAAATGTTTCTGTCTCCATGAAGCTGGCATCACTTTCTCCTCATTATGGATTTGACAGTAGCAAGTGAAGTCTGGCTGTCAGTCAGTCATACTCTCCCTTTTTTTTTTTTATTTTAAATTGGTGATGGAGGGCTTTATAGTAGGCAGCTCTTCATTCTTGCATGTCTCCTATAATGTTTTTATCATATTTTCATATTTGAATGCAGTAGTGTGTAAATTACCTGAAAGTTATTAATGGTTCCCTTAACATGGGTTTAATGCGACTTCCCTACTGTGCTGGTGCGTTGGTGCGCTCTCTGGTAATCTGTAGATAACCTCCTACATTTGTGAGTTGCATCATCAATCTACTTGGCATGTATGAGGAACATCTTGCCAGTTAATGTCAAATAACTTATAATAATATAT